CTCACCTCGAGCAGTCCTCTCCCCTTCCCCTTCCTTGACAGGGTCTTGCTCTGTCACTCACGTTGAAGTCCAGTGGCATGATCATAGCTCACTGCAACCTCAAACTCTTGGGCTCAAGCAATCCTCCCGCCTTGGCCTCCTGGGTAGCTGGGACTATAGACACTTGCCATCATGCCTAGCTAATTTTTGTTTTTTTGAGACGGAGCCTTTCTCTGTCACCAGGCTGGAGTGCAGTGGTACGATCTCGGCTCACTACAACCTCCGTCTCCCAGATTCAAGCAATTCTCCTGCCTCAGCCTCCTGGGTAGCTGGGACTACAGGTGCGTGCCACCACGCCCAGCTAATTTTTATATTTGTAGTAGAGATGGGGTTTCACCATGTTGGCCAAGATGGTCTCCATCTCTTGACCTCATGATCCACCCACCTTGGCCTCCCAAAGTGCTGGGATTACAGGTGTGAGCTGCCGCACCTGGCCCATGCTGGCTAATTTTTTAAATGTCTAGTAGAGGCGATCTCTCACTATGTTGCCCAGGCTGGTCTTGAGCTCCTGGGCTCAAGTGTTCTTCCTGCTTCAGCCTTCTAGAGTGCTGTTATTGCAGGTGTGAGCCACCTCGCCTGGCCTCGTAGATCTTTATGTGTTTAAATGGCTGGGTGCAGAGTTTTTTTGTTTTGGAATTTATTTTTAAAAATCCAGAGTGTAGTACTTGACCTCGTTGGGGGTTTTCTTGCATTTTCTTTTTCTTTTTTATTGATAATGGGGTGGCAGTTGCTGACAAATTATCAAGTACATGTTGAAATGCATCTCATTTTTCTGTCTAGGTGAGGTTACTGAGTATTAATTATGGGATTATGAAATATATATTCAATTTGGAAGGCTCTTCAGACAACATTTGTGTTGATGAGAAAATGAAATTTCCCTTTGACTTTCCTTTGGTATTGTAATCAGAATATTCAGTTTAATTCTTCTAAAGGAGAATGATCTTGGCAATCATCTTGGGATAAAGTGTAACTTTAATGTTCCACAAGTTTATCTTCAAGGCATTAGAGAAAATATTATACAGGCATACCTCATTTTACTGTGCTTCACAAATCATGCCTTTTCTATAAATTGAGGGTTTGTGGAAATCCTGTGTCAAGCAGTTCTGTTAATGTCATGTTTCCAATAGCATGTGCTCACTTGGTGTCTCTGTCACATTTTGGTAATTCTCACGGTATTTCAAACTTTATTGTATCTGTTATGATCTGTGATCGGTGATCTTTGATGTTGCTATTGTAACTGTTTTGGGGTGCCATGAATATTGGCCATATAAGACGGCCAACTTAATTGATAAATGTTGTATGTGTTCTGAATGCTCCACTGACTGGCCATTCCCATCTCCTTGTCCTTGGGTCTACCTATTCCCTGAGACACAACAATATTGAAATTAAGCCAATTAATAGCCCTACAATGGCCCCTACATGTTACAGTGAAAGGAAGAGTTGCATATCTCTCACTTTAAATCAAAAGCTAGAAATGATTACACTTACGAGGAAGACATGTGAAAAGCCAACACAGGCCAAAAGCTAGGCCTCATGCACCAAATAAGTTAGCCAGGTTGTAAAAGCAAAGGAAAAATTCTTGAAGGAAATCAAAAGTTCTGCTCTAGCAAACATATGAATGATAAGAAAACAAAACAGCCTCATTGCTGATGCGGAGAAAGTTCAAGTGGTCTGGGTAGTAAATAAAACCAGCTACAACATTCCCTTAATCCATAACAAGGCCCTAACTCTGTTCAACGTTATGAAGGCTGAGAGAGGTGGGGATGCTGCAGAATAAAAGTTGAAAGCTAACAGAGGTCAGTTATAAGATTTAAGGAAAGAAGTCACCCCCATAAAACTACAAGGTGAAGCAGCGAGGGCTGATGTAGAGATTGCAGCAAATTATCCAGATCTAGCTAAGGTAATTGATGAAGGAAGTTTACACTAAAAACAGATTTTCAGTGTAAACAAAACAACCTTCTACTGGAAGGAGATGCCATCTAGGACTTTGCTAGCTAGAGAGAAGTCAGTGCCTAGCTTCAAACTACAAAGGACAGGCTGATTCTTGTTAGGGGATCTTGCAGCTGATGACTTTTAAGTTGAAGCCAGTGCTCATTTGCTATTCCCAAAATCCTAAGAATCCTGAAGAATGATGCTAAATCCATTCTGCCCATGCTCTGGAAATGGAGCAGCAAAGCCTGGATGACAGTGCATCGATTTATAGCATGGTTTAGTGAATACTTTAAGCCTACTGTTGAAACCTACTGCCCAGAAAAAAGTTTCCTTTCAAAATATCACTGCTCATTGATGATGCACCTAGTCACCCAAGAGCTCTGATGGAGATGAATTGTTTTCATGCCTCTTAACACAGCGTACTTTCTGCAGCCTGTGGAGCAGCAAAGAGGAATTTTGACTTTCAAGCCTTATTATTTATTAATAAGAACTATATTTCATAAGGCTATAAATGCTGTAGATAGTGATGACTTTGATGGATTTGAACAAAGTAAATTGAAAAACTTCCAAAAGGATTCAGCATTCTGAATGTCATTAAGAACATTCATGATTCATGGAAAGTCAGAACATCAGCATGAACAAGACTTATTCCAGCCTGTATTGATGACTTTGAAGGGTTCAAAGAAGTCACTGTGGATGTGGTGCAGAGAGCGAGAGATGTACAGTAAGAAATGGAGCCTGAAGATGTTACTGAATTGCTGCAGTCTCATGAGAAAACTTGAATGGATAAGGAGTTGCTTCTTATGGGTGAGCAGAAAAAAAGGTTTTTTGAGATGGAATCTATTCCTGGTGAAGATGCTGTGAACATTGTTGAAATGACAACAAAGGATTTAGAATATTACGTAAACCGAATTGATAAAGCAACTGCGGGGTTTGGGAGGATTGACTCCAATTTTGAAAGAAATTCTACTGTGTAAAATGCTTACAAACAACATTGCATGCTACAGAGAAATCTTTTGTGAAATGAAGTCAATCAGTGTGACAAACTTCATTGTTGTCTTAAGAAATTGTCACAGCCACCGCAATCTTCAGCAATCACTACTCTGATCAGTCAGCAGCAATCAACAAGGGAAGACCCTCCATCAGCAAGAAGATTACCACTCTCTGTAGGCTCGGATGATCATTAGCATTTTTAGCAATAGAATTTTTAATTAAGGTATGTACTTTTTGTTTTTTAGACATAATGCTATTTCAGACATAATGTAGACTATAGTGTAGTGTAAACATAACTTTTATATGCACTGGGAAACCAAAAAATTTGTGTGACTCTCCATAAAGATAGTTCCTTTATTGTGATACTCACTTTATTATGATGATCTAGAACTGAACTCACAATATATCCAAGGTATGCCTCTATATATAATGTTAGGTATATATAAGGTATTATATATTATGTAGGAATAAAACTATTTTAAGAGAAGTATCTACAGATATATTAAAACTAGTATATGTTGTTTCAGTACATATCTATGCAGCATTACTCAGTCTTTATTATTTTCCCAGTTAGGTGTTTGATTAAATATAGAGTCACATTTAATAGTTTCCCCACTCCTGGCACTCTCGTTTCTTCTTGGCTAATTTGTTCCTCTGAGAAATATCAGCTATCCTGTTTCTTGCCTTCTTTTTTTTTTTTTTGGAGACAGTTTCCCTCTGTTGCCCTGGCTGGAGTGCTGTGGCACAACCTCGACTCAGGGCAACCTCTGCTTCTTGAATTCAAGTGATTCTTGTGCCTCAGCTTCATGAGTAGCTGGAATTACAGGCATATACCACAATGCCTGGCTAAATTTTTTTTGTATTTTTAGTGGAGACCAGGTTTCACCATGTTGGCTAGGCTGGTCTCGAACTTCTGACCTCACGTGATCCGCCCACCTCAGCCTCCCAAAGTGTTGGGATTACCGGTTTGAGCCGCCGTGCCTGGCCCCTTGCCTTCTTTTATAGTTTAAGTGTTTCTGCTGTGTTTTTTTTTTTTTGAAATGGAGTTTCACTCTTGTTGCCCAGGCTGGAGTGCAGTGGCGCGATCTCAGCTCACCACAGCCTCCTGCCTGAGCCTCCCAGGTAGCTGGGATTACAGGCATGTACCACCATGCCTGGCTAGTTTTGTATTTTTTGTCGAGACAGGGTTTCTCCATGTTGGTCAGACTGGTCTTGAACTCCCAACCGTAGGTGATTCACCCACTTCAGCCTCCCAAAGTGCTGGGATTACAGGTGTGAGCCACCCGCGCCCAGCTCTGCCGTGTTTTTCTTAAATAATTGTGCTTGCTTATCTCTGTCATAGCACTTAGCACACTGTAGTTGTCTCTCTGCCTCATCTCTATGAATTCCATTGAGTGATGAGTTTCAGTGTGTCTTGGGTCCCTAGGTATAGCAGAGAATCTGTTATGTAGTAGACATAAAATACATATTTTTTAAATGAAAGAAATGGAGAACTCTCATTATTTGCCACTGTAATAACAACCAGCATTTTACTTTTTTTTCCTAAATTTTTGTGGTAAACATAAAATTTACTGTGTTAACTATTTGTAAGTGTACAGTTCAATTAATGTTAAGTACTTTCTGCAACCAATTATTGTACAACTAATCTCCAGAACTCTTGTTCATCTTCCAAAACTCTGTAAACTCTGTAACCCTAAACTCCCTTCTCCTTGGTTAGTGGCAATCACCATTCTTTTTGTTTCTGTGAATTTGACTTCTTACCCCTCATAAAAGTGGAATCATATAGTATTTATCTTTTTTTTGAAGAGAGGCTGGCTTATTCACTTAATGTCCTTAGCTTCCCCTCATGTTTTATCAAGTGTTAGAATTTCCTTCATCAGGGCTTTTTAGTATTCCATGGTGTATATATATATACATTTTTCATTCATCTGTTGATGAACAGTTGGGTTGCTTCTACCTTCTGACTGTTGTGAATAATGTTGCTTTTAACATGGGGATGCAGCTACCATTTTTTGACATTGACTTTTTATTTTTAGATGGGCACTCTGGTTTTTTAAAAATGATAAAAGCAAAACTTGGCAAGCAAACCTGCGGCTGATCTCTAAGTTTGATACTGTTGAAGACTTTTGGGCGTAAGTAACCATTTGTTTTAGTATGTTGGTTTTTTTATTAGTTGTGTAGTTTATTTTTAAGTCGAATTCACAAAATGAAGTGTGAGGTAAACAGTTAATGAATGTTCGTCTATTTTTTTAATCTCCTCACAAAAGTTTGAACTAGTAATTATGCTTTGTTAGTTTTACAAAGCTTCAATCTTGTCATCCCTTAGCCCTGATTATTCTGTTTCTTGTCCTGAGATATCCTTAGCTCAAGAATCCTTTATTGCCCTTAGAACTTTTGACAACTAGTTGCAACTTGTTCCTCTCTTGGTTGCCAAGGTAAATTTGCCTCATAACTGGGTATTCCAGTGCATTGTTGGGTTCTCATTTCTGCAAACTGTTTTCAGTGCAACATCTGGAATTTCCTGTACCAGAGATTTTACGATATCAAAGGTTGAAGTGTTCAGAATTCAGAGTTTGTCAAGGGAATGCCAGTATCTATCATGATACTTTATTCATTTCATTATACTTTGATCAACCTCAAGAAGAATAGTTGAAATATTTTTGAAATTTTGTTTCTGTATAAGCAGAAAGTTAAGAATTGGGATCATCAACTTTTGCATGACCTCAAAACAAAATTTAAGGCTGGGCTCAGTGACTCATGCCTGTAATACTAATACTTTGTGATGCTGAGGCAGGAAGATCACTTGCGGCCAGGAGTTCAAGACCAGCCTGGTCAACATGAGTCCCTGTTTCTCTATAAAATAAATAAAATTAAAAATTGTAAAGTCTATTTCAAGAAGTTTTGATTATTGATTCTCTTAAAAACAAAGTTAATCCAGTGTGTCAGATTTACTTGGAGAATGAGTAGGGAGGTACTATGTGAGACCCTGAAAGGCAAAACTTTTTAATAAGTGCTTTAAATTACCTAGCAGTTATTTAAATATTGTAACTTGTACATCTTTTTTTAGGATCATATACATGCTGAATTAGTGATGCTACTCTTATGTTTTAATGTAACTCCCTCAAGATATTCTGCTCATACAAAGGAATAGATTGTGGTATAAAATTTATACATATATACATACATCTTCAACAGCAGAAACATTTTTGTCTGTATTTCCAGTGCTTGACATCTGATAGGTATTTTGTATTCATTTGTGTTGCTGAAAAAAGCAAAGCATACAGTTAAAGCTATAAACTTTGAGAGTATTTGAGAACATTCATTTGAGAGTAAACTTTGAGAGTATTTATTTTTTATTAAAAGCATTACACTTAATAATAACTACATTTAAGGCCTAATAATTTATAAGTGTCTAGTTGTCTAGTTAAACTAGGGTTATTCTTTGCCCATCATCAAAACATCAAGTAGTTTTTCTTCTCTAATTGTGTTTATTCAGAACTCTTAAATAACTCTTCTGCACCAAAAAAAGCTCTTCATTCTCCTAGAGAGGAAAAGGAAGCCTTGAGCCACGTTCCCCAGTCAGATTTGCATTTATCTAGTTTGTTTGGCTTTTACCAGTTTACGTAATTGTACCAATTAGAACAGTGCCTCCACACTTCAGTTATGTGTAGTCAGTGTCATTGCATAGTAGATTTTTATACCATAATTTAGAGATATGAAGGATTTTTCAATTTTCTGTAAATGTGTGGGCCACTTCCTAATTTCTGGCTTTTCTAGCAAATTTATTACAAATAACCATTGAGTCCCTCTGTATTTATCCAGACTGCATAGTCTTAGGATTCTGTTTAGGTGTGCCATTATAAATTCTCATTATGGACTGACTTGAGAGACCTTTGAGCACCCCGGAAGAGAAAGGAGGCAGCAAAAAGAAAAATATTTTATTGAAGTTCGTTCCCACAATATCCATTTATTTTATGAAATTAGTAGTGCTAATTTTATAGTCACTTAGTATGCAGGCTTTTTTTGTTGCCTAGAGGAGGCTGTCATAGATGATGTAGTTGGGAGTTACCATGAGGTGTAGTGACTCACAAACCTTATGTGATCTTAGGTTGTCTCACCTAAACTATTATTTGTGTGTTATACTATGGAATTTCATTTAAAGAATGCCAACTTCTGTCTGAAATCTTTTTTTTTTTTTTTTTTTTTTTGAGATGGAGTCTAGCTCTGTCACCAGGCTGGGGTGCAATGGGGTAATCTCGGCTCACTGCAACCTCCACCTCCCGGGTTCAAGCGATTTTTCTGCCTCAGCCTCCCGAGTAGCTGGTATTACAGGCGCATGCCATCACGCCCGGTTAATTTTTGTATTTTTAGTAGAGACGGGGTTTCATCATGTTGGTCAGGCTGGTCTGGAACTCCTGACCCCGTGATCCGCCTGCCCCAGCCTCCCAAAGTGCTGGGATTACAGGTGTGAGCCACTGCGCCCGGCCCTTAAATCTTTTCCTGAAATATTCCTAGATGGGGTTAATATAGCACCAGGAGAACCAGACTAAGGATAATAGAATCATCCATGGTCTGTAGACACAGCTAAGTTCATTATTTCTGCCATCTAATATTGGAGACAGGCAAAAGATTCTTAAGAATTGCCAATTTTTTAATCAATTTTGCTGTAAAAGACTACAGGAGATCAAATGGTCTAAGCCTCCTGCCTTCAGGCAAGCAACTAAGTCATTGCAAATGTTATTCTGCTATTTTGATACTTGGGAAATAGTTTAGAAATACAGACTGCAGGGTTCTATCTCATATTTAGGTGATTATAATCCCAAGAGGTAGGGCTTGGAACTATATTTATTTATTTATTTATTTTTCTAAAATCATTTTTAAAATGATTATTATGTTGACTAACCAGTGACAATTTGTGGTGTTTGGGAACCATTGATCTATTTTACTCTTGGATGCCCTCGAGGATAATAATCAACTGTTTCAGTCATGCAATCCTGATGGTCAGGAAGTTCATCTTTTCTGTTATTTTTTTTATGTTTGTGAAAAAACTGTTGATTAACTTCAGAAATTACTTCATCTACTTAAAGCTACCTTATACCTCTCTTCTCAGTTTCTTATATATATACATATGTATGCACTGAGTTAACTAACATATAAAATATATTTTTGTCAGAGCAGTCACTAGAAATTTTTTGAAAATTATACCTTTCATCTAAAGTTGATTATTTAACTGCTTTTAAGATCTGTTTTGTCCATTTTAGAAATTGACTCCTTAGAAACAAGTAAACATGAACTTTTATCTGTTTTTCATCATATGTTCTAAATGTATATATATGTAAGCACCTGAACTCTATATTACATGTTCTGTGTTTTTAATTGTTACTTTCTTTTACCTAGTCTGTACAACCATATCCAGTTGTCTAGTAATTTAATGCCTGGCTGTGACTACTCACTTTTTAAGGTATGCTTAATTGGTGATTTTATATATTTATTATAGGACTGGGCCATTTGGTATTCATTAAGAAATCTTGCCATAAACTTAGGAGTACTTGATAGTGTGAAGAACAGGCTGATAATTTAATTGGCTGTAGTATGCTTTAGTATCAATATATCTTACTCTATTTGTTTATAAAAATTGAGAGAGAGTTATTCACATACTGAGATTGATTTTGATGAGAGCTTTGATTTTCCAGTCTACTCCTTTATATATTTGAGCAGACTAAGTTTATCAAGCATTCTTAACCTTAGGAGCATGGGTCCTTGGAATACTTATTATTGGGCTTTGTCAGGTGGTAGGGGGACGGGACATTCATTAACTGAAACTGCATAGTTTTTGCATGTATTTTCTAGGTATAGAAATGTACAGAGCTTCTAAAACATATTTGCTACTCAGAAAGTTTAAGAACCTTCAAATTAAGTGAAACTCAAGATTTGATAGCTTATAAGTGACAAAGTCAGGACTCTAATTCTGCAATGTCATGCTTCTGGCTTTAAGTCTTATGCACTTTTTAAAAACTGCATCAGTGGCAGTTTTATGGGCAATAAAGTAAGAAGTTGACAGTGTTGTTGCTTACTGTTTTTAATGATTATCTCTCAAAGTCAAGGTAACAATATTGTGTAATACTGTTGTCTTCTAACCCTGTAGGATGGTATTGAGCCTATGTGGGAAGATGAGAAAAACAAACGGGGAGGACGATGGCTAATTACATTGAACAAACAGCAGAGACGAAGTGACCTTGATCGCTTTTGGCTAGAGACAGTAAGGTTTTAAAAGTATAAAGCAATTTTAGAGGTAGTTTGGGAATACTGAAACTTATGTTATGTTTTACATTTGTTACTTAATTTAAGAGAAGGATGCCCAACACTAGAAAATTAGGGTCAGTAATTGTTTTCATTCTGTCATGTGACTCCTGTTTGTAGTACAGTGAAACATCCTACCACATTATAAGTCAGATATTTTAAGTGATTGGCAGTGTGACTCTCACCATAATAAGCTCACTGTGGTCATTTCATTAACTTCGAAATTATAGAACCTTACATTTTATATGATTGAAGTTTTTGCAACCCTCTTACAGCATTGCTATATGTATACTAAACTTTTAAATATTTATGTTTTTAGAGTAAGGGTCTTGCTCTGTTGCCCAGGCTGGAGTGCGGATATTTATTTATATGGCTCACTTCAGCCTCACCCTCTGGGTTCAAGTGATCCTCCCACTTCAGCCTCTTAAGTAGCTGGAACTACAGGTGCATGCCACAATGGCCAGCTAATTTTCTAAATTTTTTCCTAGAGGTGGGATCTTGCTGTGTTGCCTAGGTTGGTCTCAAACTCCTGGCCTCAAGTGATCCTCCCATTCAGCCTCCCAGAGTGCTGGAATTACAGGTGTGAGTCACTGTGCCTGTCCCACTAAACTTTTTAGATCAGTGAAGCAAACAATAAAATTGTTGTGTACTACCATTCAACCTACATGTTGTGATATTAACTGGAACTTTTGGCTTTACAAGACAAATTAAATATGAGATAATAGGCATTTTCTGTCGACAGAGGTTCCAAACCCCAAGCTTATAGGAGCGGGGTTTGTAGTCTCTTTTGTATCCCTAGCACTTGAAACCGTGCCTGGTTTATAGTTAGCACTTGTTGAGTTAATCACTTTAAATATTTGAATAAGTGACTATTGTTTTTTTAGAGACAGGGTCTTGCTCTGTTGCCCAGGCTAGAGTGTAGTGGGGCCATCATAGCTCACTGTAGCCTCCTGGGTTCAAGCAATCATCCTGCCTTAGCCTCTCAAGTAGCTGTGACTACAGGTGCATGCCAGCACACACAGCTAATGAATGAATGACTTTTTAAGAAGAAAATTCTGTTTTTGAGGGCGAAGATCATCAGCAAATATCATTTTGGAATTCCACATTTAAAAGTCAGGATATTTCCATTTTTCAGTTAAAAAAAATGTTCTGGAGATGGATGGTAGTAGTGATGGTTGTACAACGTTGAATGTACTTAACGCCACTGAACTGTACACTTAAAAGTGGTTAAAATGGTAAATTTTATGTTATTTGTGTTTTACCACAATTAAGAAACCCGTTAGGGCTGGGCTCACACCTGAAATCTCAACACTTCAGGAGGCCAAGGCAGGCATTTCACTTAAACTCAGGAGTTCAAAACCAACTTGGGCAACGTGGCAAAACCCTGTCTCTACAAAAAATACAAAAATTTACTGGGTATGGTGACATGTCCCTGTGTGTATGCCCAGCTACTCAAGAGGCTGAGGTGGGAGGATCTGAGCCCAGGAGGTTGAGGCTGCAGTGAGCTGTGATGGTCCCATTGCACTCCAGCCAGGGTAACAGAGCGAGACGCTGTCTCAAAAAACAACAACAAAAAACCGAACCATTAACAAATACTCAGAAAAAATAAGAACAAGAAGAAATTAACCATGAATAGCTATTTTTGTTATTCTATTAATATTTGTTTGCTCGTAAATATAAGCAGCAGCAGAGCAAATGAATATTAATAAAATCAGCTTTTATGTCTGCCACGATATTAACTGCCAAATTTGCTGAAAAAGGTGAAGACAACTATTAATGATTTGATAGTAAATAAATGAATGAGTATTTAAGAGTCAGGATAGATCTATATATGCAAATAAAATTTACACATTTAAAAAATTAACTAGATTTAAAAATTGTCTTTAGTTATCTACGCAAATATAGAAGAGAAATTTGCAGTGTAATAAGCTTGTTTATAATCTATTAAACGTAATTTGGGATTTTCTTTTAAGCTGCTGTGCCTTATTGGAGAATCTTTTGATGACTACAGTGATGATGTATGTGGCGCTGTTGTTAATGTTAGAGCTAAAGGTGATAAGATAGCAATATGGACTACTGAATGTGAAAATAGAGAAGCTGTTACACATATAGGGTAAGTTTTGCTCTTTGCATACTTATTTTACAATATTAGGATGGCTAAAACCAGAAGTTACTTTATTTGTAGCTTTATAAATACTTTGTTTGTAGATCCTGTTTTCCTTGTATTGTTTTCGGGAACACTTTTATAATTTTGAATGGCTCAGTTGGTGCACAACGTCTTGTTCATATATATCTAATCTATATGTATATAGATCTATATAGATATCAATATAGATGTTTTGGAGGGTTTTTTCACAGCTATTTATATATTTAGAGACAGAGTCTCACTCTGTTGTCCAGGGTGTAGTACAGTGGCATGATCTAGGCTCACTGCAACTGCTGACTCCCGGGTTCAAGTGATTCTTATGTCTCAGCCTCCCAAGTAGCTGAGAATACAGGCGCGTGCCACCATGCTCAGGTAATTTTTGTATTTTAAGTAGAGACCAGGTTTTGCCATGTTGGCCAGGCTGGTCTTTTAACTCTTGGCCTCAAGTGATCCATCCACCTCGGCCTCCCAAAGTGCTGGCATTACAGGCATGGGCCATTGCGCCTGGCCTTGTTCATGTTTTTTATTTCTGTAAAATTGCTTTTTCTTAGCAGTGAAGTATATAACCACTAGAACACTCTGCTTTGGCATGTAGCATTTTTTATTCATTCACAAATGAGAATGTATTATTTCCTACTTTGAAAGTGCTGTTTGAAAAAAAGTACTACTTTGAAAAGAGCTAATGTATGCTCATAATAAATAATTCAGTGATTATTGGCAAATAGTGTATGTGTATTTAAAGCATGTGTGTTTACTACATATAATTTTCATTAAAATTTAACATACTTTGGCTTTTGTTCGATGTTTAAAACCCACATGTAGGGTTTTATTAAACCTTTTTTTGTAAATTTTATTCTTTGCAAAAATGGCTTTTTTTTTTTTTTTTTTTTTTGAAGCAGGGTCTCACTGTGTTATTTAGGCAAGAGTGCAGTGGTGCAGTCACGGCTCACTGCAGCCTCAACCTCCTGGGCTCAGGTGATCCTCCCACCTCAGCCACCCAATTAGCTGGAACTCAGGTGTGTACAACCACACCTGGCTATTCTCTTGTATTTTTTGTAGAGAAGAGGTTTTGCCATGTTGCCGAGACTGGTTGTGAACTCCTGGGCTTGATCAAACCACCTCAGCCTTTCAAAGTACTGAGATTACAGGCATGAGCCACCATGCTAAACCAGCTGGCATTTCTAACTAGGATTTCTTTTTACCTCAATTATATTAGTAATATTTGACGCTGGGCACGGTGGCTCATACCTGTAATCCCAGCACTTTGGGAGGCCAAGGCAGGCAGATCACGAGATCGGGAGATCGAGACCATCCTGGCTAATACGGTGAAACCCCGTCTCTACTGAAAATACAAAAAAAAAACATTAGCTGGGCATGGTGGCGGGTGCCTGTAGTCCCAGCTACTCGGGAGGCTGAGGCAGGAGAATGGCGTGAACCTGGGAGGCGGAGCTTGCAGTGAGCCAAGATTGGGCCACTGCATTCCAGCCTGGGAGACAGAGTGAGACACTGTCTCACCAAAAAAAAAAAAAAAAAAATTGACTTAACAATTCTATGTTAAAATTAAGTGCTGGTCAGTCAGTGGTCACAAAATGTTTGGTTTGTCCCTTTGTGATTTTTCAAATATTATTAATTTTTCTTTTTAAAATTAATTTTTGAGACAGAGTCACACTCCGTTGCCCAGGCCGGGGTGCAGTATCGTGATCTCGGCTCACTGCAACCTCCACCTCCTGAATAGCTGGGACCAGAGGCCTGAGCCACTACAGTATTTTTTGTGGAGACAGGGTTTCGCCATGTTGGCCAGACTGGTGTCAAACTCCTGTGCTCAAGTGATCCACCTGCATCAGCCTTCCAAAGTGCTGGGATTTCAGGTGTGATCCACTGCTCTCAGCCATGTAAATTTCTCTGTGAACATAATTTATTTCTGGATCAAAAGGTATAGGGATTTTCTACATTTCATGCTATATGGGGTTCCATAAGAGAAAGGAGTTGATTTGTCATCTTATTTTAATGTTTCTGCCAGCATCAAAACCTAATTTTGGAGGACTTACTTTTTTTTTTTTTTTTTTCAAAACAAGAGTTAGATTAAGAATTTTTTTCCTATGGAAGTTTTTTATTTTTGTCACTAGTAAATGTTTTTGAGTCTATATTAAGACTTCAGATTTTCAAACAAAGATTTTCTTTTTTTAACCCTTCCAATTTGCATGACTCAATGGTCCTGGCTTTTGGTATTTTTAATAATTAAATATAATTGAAAGGAATGCATTGTATTATAATGCAAATTTGATAATTATCACTTTAGTTACCGTAAAATTACTTTTTAATGCCTTATTTTAGTGGGAAGGTAGTAAATCTCCTGGAAGGTATTAAAAAAAACTATCCTAGTATCGTGTTGGAGGATTTAACTCCATGAATATGTTTATTCCTTTATTTTTATTTGATTTTGCTTATTTTTCAATTTTTACTATTTTTTCTTAAAGATTCAGATTTTTAAGGTGACCTATGAAGTTTTCTGTGATCTTTCTTTGAAACCTTGTCAGCTTTATCTCATATTCACTTTACTTACGAGCCATAGTCACACAGCCTGATTTTTATTTCTCAGCTTTCAGATGTGCTCATTATCTTAACATTATCCTTTTGACCTTGTGATATTTAAAGGGGAAGACTTCTCTAATTTTGTAGATGAGATTAGAATCTCCTTGTTATTACAGCCCTTGTGTTTACTCTTTGGCACTCATGACAAGTGCCATTTTATTCTTGCTATAGAGTCATGTCTTACTTGAAAATTAGGTTGTAAGGTTAGTATGTAAAGCAGAAATTACTTTCTCCCTTGAAGTGTTTCATTTTAATCTCCCTCAAAGTGTTTAGTTTTTGTTTGTGCAATCTTACAACAGGTATGGTAAATATAATTTGTGTAGTAATATACAATATTTGCTAGGGTTCAGACGTGAAATGTAGCATTTTAGATCAAAGAATGAAAATAAACATGTTTGTTATACAGATTTCTGTTTTAAGTATGCATGTAATACAGGTCCGTCATATGTATTTGTGATTTTGTGTTTACTAGACTATAAATACAGTGAGCTCAGGGACTGTCCTTGCTTTGTTCACTATTGATTTAGTAATAATTATAGTATCATAATAAATAACAGTATAATAATATAGTAATGCTCCTGTAATTTAGTAATAGTAAACCCGACTGGCTCTCAATATTTTAAAAGTAATTATCCAAGAATATCGCAAAAATGAAAAGTAAATTATGCTAAAAGGAAAAGGGTGTATAATTAATTTCCTATTGTACTCTCATCTATATTTTTTAATACAAAGACTAGTAACCCTAAAATTTTGAATTTATTTACTTCTTATGAGTAAAAATTAATGGCTACTTTTTTCTTCTTTTTTTTCTTCTAGGAGGGTATACAAGGAAAGGTTAGGACTTCCTCCAAAGATAGTGATTGGTTATCAGTCCCACGCAGACACAGCTACTAAGAGCGGCTCCACCACTAAAAATAGGTTTGTTGTTTAAGAAGACACCTTCTGAGTATTCTCATAGGAGACTGCGTCAAGCAATCGAGATTTGGGAGCTGAACCAAAGCCTCTTCAAAAAGCAGAGTGGACTGCATTTAAATTTGATTTCCATCTAAATGTTACTAAGATATAAGAGAAGTCTCATTCGCCTTTGTCTTGTACTTCTGTGTTCATTTTTTTTTTTTTTTTTTTTTTTTGGCTAAAGTTTCCACTATCCCAATCAAAGAATTACAGTACACATCCTCAGAATCCATAAATGTGTTCCTGGCCCACTCTGTAATACTTCAGTAGAATTACCATTAATTACATACAGATTTTATCTATCCACAATAGTCAAAAAACAACTTGGCATTACTATACTTTACAGGAAAGAAAATTCTGTTGTTCCATTGTATGCAGGAGCATATTTTGCTGGTTTGAAAGATTATGATGCATACAGTTTTCTAGCAATTTTCTTTGTTTCTTTTTACAGCATTGTCTTTGCTGTACTACCTATCCACAATAGTCAAAAGACAACTTGGCATTACTGTACTTTACAGGAAAGAAAATTCTGTTGTTCCATTGTATGCAGGAGCATATTTTGCTGGTTTGAAAGATTATGATGCATACAGTTTTCTAGCAATTTTCTTTGTTTCTTTTTACAGCATTGTCTTTGCTGTACTCTTGCTGATGGCTGCTAGATTTTAATTTATTTGTTTCCCTACTTGATAATATTAGTGATTCTGATTTCAGTTTTTCATTTGTTTTGCTTTTGTTTTTTTCCTCATGTAACATTGGTGAAGGATTCAGGAATATGACACAAAGGTGGAATAAACATTAATTTTGTGCATTCTTTGGTAATTTTTTTTGTTTTTTGTAACTACAAAGCTTTGCTACAGATTTATGCATTTCATTCAAATCAGTGATCTATGTTTGTGTGATTTCCTAAACGTAATTGTGGATTATAAAAAATGTAACATCATAATTACATTCCTAACTAGAATTAGTATGTCTGTTTTTGTATCTTTATGCTGTATTTTAACACTTTGTATTACTTAGGTTATTTTGCTTTGGTTGAAAATGGCTCAAGTAGAAAAGCAGTCCCATTCATATTAAGACAGTGTACAAAACTGTAAATAAAATGTGTACAGTGAATTGTCTTTTAGACAACTAGATTTGTCCTTTTATTTCTCCATCTTTATAGAAGGAATTTGTACTTCTTATTGCAAGGCAGTCTCTATATTATGTCTTCTTTTGTGGTGTCTTCCATGTGAACAGCATAAGTTTGGAGCACTAGTTTGATTATTATGTTTATTACAATTTTTAATAAATTGAATAGGTAGTATATATATGGAATTAAATTGATGTGGCTATCTTTGTTTTTTATAAAGTAAGGCACAGTCCTTCAGTCTTAGGTAAATAATGTACTCTCTTAATATGTTAATACTCATGAGAATTGGGATCTGATGCATCACCATTTATTTGATTGGTAGCAACAGTGGTTGTAAAACTTGGTTGCTGAATTGAGTTGTTTTTATGTAAGTGTCAAAATGATAGTGTAGGGAAAGTATAGGTGGTGGGAACATAATGCATTAAGAATTTTGTTAGTGTTGCAATCTAAATAGAATGGAATAAACAGGTATTAAGACATATTTATAGTGGTAAATTGTTGTAGTATGGTATTCTGTAAACTTGAAAACTTGATCTACTCTTTGTAGGTATCATTTGAAAGCAAACTTGAAAATGTTTTGTACATAGTACATACTTGTATAGTCCTGTGAAATGAAGTATGGCTATCAGACCAAAGGATAAGCCAAACTGTAGGTAGCAGAATGGAAATTATTAGTTTGAGAGGAAAATTTTGTCTTTTAATCATTTTAAAACTGATAAACTTGACAAAAACCCTGTATGAAATAAACATGAAATTAATAGCACTGATTTCATTGTAAAATTTTAAAGCAGTTTAAAGGGTACCACAGGTTGTCACAGTACTCTCAATGCCACAAACACCTCTTGTTCAGTATTCTAGAAATACTGAATCTTCTGTGTTTATTATTATTATAATCTCAGCATACTGTATGTAATATCTGCTAGTTAAACTTGGGGAATTGGTTAAGCTGACTTACTGTCTACATTAATATGTATAGTTTTGAGTACTTCAAGAGTTTGCTTAAAAGTGATGCTGTTAGTGGTATGTTGGCAATGGGTGGGACCGAAGTGGTGTATCTATTATAAGTTAATGATCTATTTTCTTACTTCTAAAATGAAGTCCAATTTTAAGAAACATCAGCTTTTAGGTGCAAAGGAGGAATAACACATTAAATGTATACAGTTCTAAATTTTTGAAATAACTGATTTGTAGCGTTTGATTATTGTTATTAGCATTTTAGAATCATGATTTTAAACCTTTTTCCTAGGGACAAGAAAGGATAATAAATTACTCTGAATCACTTTTGGCAGTTGCCACTTAAATAGTACAGTGATTTGCAACTTTTATAACTTTATTAGCACCTTCTCTACATATAAAATTAGGCTATATGTTATTTTCCAACTTACTCTTTTCTCTCTGTTTAACAGGATATTATAAATAGATTAAATAGATAAATTTTCTTTTCTTTTCTTTTTTTTTTTGGACCGAGTCTTGCTCTCTCGCCCAGGCAGGAGTGCGGTGGCGCAATCTCAGCTTACTGCAGTCTCCTCCTGGGTTCACACCATTCTCCTGCCTCAGCCTCCCGAGTAGCTGGGACTACAGGCGCCTGCACCACGCCTGGCCAAATTTTTTTGTATTTTTAGTAGAGACAGGGTTTCACTGTGTTAGCTAGGTCTTGATCTCCTGACCTGGTGATTCGCCCGCTTTGGCCTCCCGAAGTGCTGGGATTACAGGCGTGAGCCACCGCACCCGGCCCAAATAGATGTATTTTCATAATAGAGAATTGAAATAAGCTTTAACGGGCGAATAGCAGTTTATTGTAGGAATGTGACGTTTCATTTAATGAATTTAATGTTTATTATCCCAATTCTACAGAAGGATTTAATACATACTATGCAATTAAATAATTATAACACTTACATAGTAATAATTTATGTGCCAGACAGTAGTTTAGTCACTTTACATGCACATTAACCTGCAGAATAATCTTTTGAGATGTAGGTGCTGTTACTGAGAATTTAAGTAACTTTTGCTTGTAAATTGCAAAGGGTGAATTTGAATTCTGGAAATTTGGTTCTAGAGACAATAATTACATAACATTTTCTCCATAGGGTACAGCTTAACAGGCTATAGTAAAATCACCTCAGCTTGTTATAGGTCGGGCAGACAAACATTTCTCCATTTTACTTCCTTTGGTGATGAGTCTAGTAATAGATGGAAATTTTCCCTAGATTCACTGTGTTAGTCAGTTGGGGAAGTTTGGAGGCAAAGGTACAGGAGTTTACAGTAGATAGTGTTAGTAAATATAGTCACATGCTATGTAAGGAAGTTTTGGTCAGCAGCAGACCACATATAGGATTGTGGGCCAGTAACATTGTAACACTATTTTTACTGTACCTTTTCTATGTTATGTTTAGATACACAAATAGCATTATGGAGTATTCAGTATGGTAACATGCTATACAGGTTTGTAGCCTAGGAGCAATATTTGACTGTTCCACGAAGCCTATATTTGTGGTAGGTTATACCATTCAGGTTTGTGTATGTACACAACGATATCACCTAATGACCCATTTCTCAAAACCTATTCCCATCATTAATCAATGCATGGTCATGTTTTCATATACATTTTAAGCTTCTGTATTCTAATCTAATATAAATGGGAAAATAAGGCAAAATGTTCAAACTAATAGGCATTGAGATTCTTAAATGCTAAAGTTGCATTCAAAAGGATAATTTTAGGCGTTGTGACAAAGCAGTGTTGTATTTTAAAGTTAAATGACAAGGCTATGCACCTTTTATCTCTAATTGTTTCTTACAGAATGTTTTTATTGTCGAGTAGTAAAACAATGTCAGATCCTTTTTACACAAATTCAAGAGTTTAGGCCAGATTGACGTTGATAAACAAAACTTCAGCATATCTCTCGAGGTCAAATTGTATGTGTCTGGAAACTTCTATAGTAATTTTATATTACTGTGACAATATGTGATCACTTTTCTAGTAATGTTTTAAAAAATATCTTACAGGCCAGGCATAGTGGTTTATACCTATAATCCCAGCACTTTGGGATGCCAAGGTGGCAGGATTGCATGAGTCCAGGAGTTCAACACCACTCTGGGCAATAAAGTGACACCCCATCATTACAAAAAAATTAAAAAATATTTAAGTATGTGTGTGTGTGTAATATATATATACATTATATATATATATAACAAAACGTGTATGTGTATATATAGTATGTCTGGCAGAGTACAATTTAGGGGTTAAGGCTGGTCCCTCACATATGGTGTGAGAAACTCTGTTCTCAGGTTGCTTTGCCCATTAGCCCAGGGCAGCTCATTTGCCCATCATTCCCTAAAACAACCAGGTCTGTTAGGTCTACAATTTTAATCTTAATACTTTTTTTTTTTTTTT